TAAATAAATAAATCTTTAAAAAAAAAAAAGATTATAACTATAGTGAAACAGAATCAGTTATATTTTTTAATTCTTTTAATTGTAGAGATTAAAAATTTGTTTATTATGTTTCTTTTCTAAAGAATGATATAATTAATAATGCCTTGAGTTATATAAAATTTAGCCCCCATATTTTACATTGCATGCAAATTAAGAGGTTTTAATGTTTAGTAGATTTCCACCCCCCAGCCAACAATTAGAAATTATTCTTAATAAATTTCTCATAGTGTCAGAATAGTTCATTAAAACAAAAAAAAAAGTAACTCCTAATTCCAATTTATTCTCCCTGACAAACATTTTAGGGAATGCAAATCAAAATTACTTTTACTGGGCCTCCCTGGTGTCGCAAGGGGTTAAGATGCAAACTATAAAGCTAGCCACAGCCACTGCAGCACGAGTTCGATCCCCTGACAGCCAGGGAGCAACCCACATGGTGCAGCAGACCTCTCCTGACTCGCCCGCTGTTCCCCTCAGCAGTGTACTTCGGTGGATCTGCCTGTTCTGTTCCCCACTCTGTCTCTGGTGAATCCTCTCAACCCCCACACCTCTGGCCTGTTCCCCAGCTCTTGTATGCATAAATAAATAAATCTTTTTTAAAAAATTACTTTTACTTAAACCTTAGAATTTCCAGCATTGAGGGTAAGAGGGGTTGAAGCAGAAATTTTGGGCAAGGAATAAAGTGTTTGTCTACTTGCATGTTTGTTTGTATAGGGTGTAAAATGAGCACAAAAGTTGAATGACTTAAAGCCTTTCTAGGAATAATCTAGGAGGAATGTTCTTCCAGACAATCATAATCAAAGAACTCTTGGAAAACAGTTTCATTACTGAATCTCACTATTTATATGCCTATAATCTTAGTAGTAAGAAATCTAGAAAGATTCCAATACATGAGGATTAATATGCTTTTAATCTGCACATAAAGACTACAGTACAGAATGCCAGGCAAAATTCTTTGCACTGTTTGATAGGAAGCCAGTGTTTTGTTATTCTAAACTTATGAAAGGAATATTATCATATCTGATTGATGAGAATACAAAGGCTGTATAGGAGAAATCCTAGGGAAATGTACTTTATTTTGAAAGAGAACTTTGGTCTATGCCTTTTCCTCCTGTAGTGAGCTGGACACATGTAAGTCTGGGTTTCTTTTACATAAGCAATTTGTTCTGTACCTTCTATTTCATGATATCTTCTAACAAAGTAGAACTAGTATAGGCCTCCCTTTTAGCTTAACATTTGGAAAAGTATTAATCTCAGATGTGAATTTTGTGATTTCTGCGTATTATAACAAAGGACAATCCTGCCAACTTCCTCATTCATGACAGCACATTCCACTCCAACCAGAGGCAGAATACAAAGATTTTCCTTGGCAATTGCAATGTATCAATGGGAAGAGATTACTTATCCCACTAGCCCAGACTGATCCTCAAATCAGAATCCACTTGTTATTGGGAATCACTTCCATGTATACATTATTACACTCCTTCAAAAGAGCAAGGTAGCCATATCTTAACTTTTACGGTGCAAATCTCCCGTCCTCTTTACATGTCCCTAGTAAGACCTCAAGGTAGTCTTACTCTAAAGCCACAGAAGATGTTAAGTCCTGTTCTGCAATTCTGTGCTAATGACTGACTTAGTTAAACTGCCCAATAACTACAAATATAGGAGAAACGTAAGTATGTAGCTTTGGTTTGTTGTTGTACATATTAGTTAACATATCACCCACCCCCTTTTCCTCATTAATCAATATACAACTTAGTACTTCCCTTGGGGCTGTTCCACAAGACCATTCAAGAGAACCTGTAATTCAGGGTGCTAGAAAGGACCCTCCCTTGCCTTGAAGTCAGAATGTTCCTAAAGCAACAGATAAAAGATAAGGAAGTGCCTGCATTTTTCTATACTTGGGGAAAGCCTGCATTAAATGGTCAAAATTTTCCTTCTTTCTTTTTTTAAAACCATTTGAAATAGCTTTTTTTATAACTTTGTTATTTCTTTCATTAAAATTATTTTATTTTTGAGAAAACATTGAATTATATCATTGTATATGATTCAGAGGAATAGGTTGAATTCACGCCTTCTCACATGTACATCACTGTACTCCATCTACCCCAGAGAACCCAGACCCCTTCATCTGTACCATGAGCCCCTCCCCACTTTGCTCCCACACCCACCCTCCCCCTCTAATAGCTTCAAGACTTGGTTTCAGTTTAGTTTTGTTAGTTCCTTTGTTTGTCTGTCTATATTCCACATGAGTAAAGTCATGCAATGTTTATCTTTCCCCCTTCTGTTTTATTTCACTTAGTACAATCCCCTCCGTTTTCACCCGCGTTATTGCAAATGGCAGAAATGTTACCGAATGCAGGTCTCTGTTTCCCTTAACCAATAAAAGGAAACGGAGTTTGAAGAGAAAGAATGTAGTTTAGTTTGTTGACAAACTGAGGAAGGCAGCAGACTCGTGTCTGAAAGACCGCGGTTCTGCCCTTTGGCTGGGGGCAGGGGTATTTATCCAGAGTTACAAGGACTTAGAAGCAGGGGAGTGGGCAAGAGTTAGCATGTCCATCCTTGTGATGCAGGCATCTGGAGGTTTGGGGGAGATTCAGGTAGGTGTCACCTTGCTTTGCTATCACTTGGTCGTCAGCAATTCCGATAATACTTTAGGAATGTTCTTTTTTCCTTGGAATGTAAGAAAACAAGGTTGCTAAACCTAGAGGATAAATAAAGAAGATAGGAATGCTTCTCTGGTGTGACAGGAAGAGAGACATGTCCTTCTATCACTACATCAGGAATTCATCATTTTTTTCCAGCTGAATAGTATGCCATTGTTTATTTTTAATTTATTTTATTTTATATTTTTACATCATTTTTCATTTATATACAATGTGTGCATTTTCATCTTGGTTATAGTCCCCGTAAAATTCCCCCCCTTGTTTTGATCCTACTCCCTCCTCCCCCCTTGTAGTGTGTCTCTGGTTTATAGTTCCTTGTTGATTTTATTATAATTAGTCTTTTTACCTTTTTATTATAATTAGTCTTTTTTTCTAAATTCCTGCTATGAGTGAGAACATTCAGTATTTTTCTTTTTCTTTCTGAGTATGCCATTGTTTATGTGTATCATATCTTTTTAATCCAGTTATCTGTCCTTGGACACTTAAGTTGCTGCCATAGCTTGGCAATTGTAAATGATACTGCAATGAACATGGGAGTGCATAGATCCCTTTTAATGTGTTTTTTTAATTCTTTGAATAAATGCCAAGGAGCAGACTTGCTGGATCATATAGTAGGTACATTTTTAATATTTTGAAAAACTTCCATACTGTTTTCCATAGGGACTGGACCAGTCTTCATTCCCACCAGCAGTATATGAAGGTTCCCTTTTCTCCATTCCCTAGCCAATATTTGTTGGTTCTGGGCTGTTTGTTTGTTTGATTGTTTGACATGGACCATTCTCACTGGTGAGGTGGTATCTCATTGTGGTTTTGGGTTTGCATCTTCCTGATGATAAGTGATGTTGAACATTTTTTCACATGCTTGCAGACCATTTGTATGTCTTCTTTGGAGAATTGTCTGCTTAGCTCCTCTGCTCATTTTTTTTATTGGGTTCTTTGTTCTCTTTTATTGACTTGTATGAGTTCTTCATAGATCTTGGATATTAGGCTCTGGTGAGATGTATGATGTGCACATATGTTCTTCATTCAGTGGGTGTCTTTTTGTTTTAGTGATAGTTTCTTTCACTGTGCAGAAGATTTTAATTTGATGTAGTCAAATTTTTGCTTTTATGTGTGTTTATTTTTGCTTTTACATTCCTTGCCATTGGAGTCGGGTCCCCAAATATATCCCTGAAGCCATGTTGTGGAGTGTTTTTGTTTATGTTTTATTCTATGCATTTAATGGATTCTGGCCTTATACCCAAATCTTTAATCCATTCTTTAGTTAATTTTTGTATATTGTGAGAGAGAGTAGTCTAGTTTCTTCTTCTTTTTTTTTAGTGAAATTTCAATTTCAACTACTATCTCACCTCCCCATCCTCATTCTAACCCTGTTCACATTCAAAAGAAAGGAATAAGTAGCTGCAAGGTAATTCTAAGGGTTTCTAACAAACACTTGCACTGATTATGTTAGCCACACCTCACATGCTTTTCAGTCATGCTATATGTGAGATGCTTATTGAATTTTCTGAATTAAAAGGAGTGATGGGAAGAAAGGAATAGTCCCCACAGTCTTGATAATCCCCTTAGCTTGGAGGAGGAAGAAATGAAAAGGAGGAAGTATGTAAATCATAGGAACAAGGAAGACAGGGGTCCTTTTCTATCATGCTTTGCAGTATGGGGGTGAGGTCCATGACTCTAAATGGCTGTAGTATGTGTTATCCAATATGGGATCATAAACAACCTCATAAATTATACTCATGACCCAAGTGTGACTCAGAAACAGCAGAAATATTGTGATAATTTAAGTAGGCCCTAAACAACAACTCTCTTCTAGACCCTCTTGGCCACCAGACAGAGACAATAGCAAATACAATGGCAACTTATGTCAACTTATGTCATCTATATGTAAGAACAAAGTGGCTCCACCTTTTCCTGGCAAGTGTAAGAGTTACTTGAAAGAATGTCAATTTCTACATCTTTCCAAGAACTTTTCATTGTTGGATAGAGATAGACTCTTAAAAGAGACCCACGTGTTGCATTCAAGGTAAAGGATGTGGGAAGAATATAGCAGGAATGTCTGGCAGATCTTGAGCATTTTCAGAATTGCTGAGACTGCAAAGATCCATTTATATTTTTACTAGGGTCTAAGGACTTTTCTGGGAAAGAATTATGGGGTAAGAAGTTCAACTCTGAAAGTAAGTCAGTGTTTGAAGACAGAAGTAGACTCTAAGTATACCATAGTGTATTCCAAGAAGGCTACAGTCAAAACAATAAGTTCTCTGAGATATTCAAAGAATAAGCAGCATAGATGCTAACAGATTTGGCAGTAATATGATGCAGTATCATCTGTGTACTATGAGTGTATTAATTTCCTAGGGTTGTCATAACAGATTATCACAAGCTCAATGGCTCTTTCAGATTCTGGTTGTTTCTTGCTTATTGGTATATAACTCAAATTTCTGTCTCCATCTCCACATAACCTTTTTCTCTGTGTCAACACTAAATTCAGAACCCTATTTGAATGAGGCCAGGAGGCTGAAGAGTTACACACACACACACACACACACACACACAGATGAGAAACTACAGACCCCATAATACACTGCACACTCCTACTGTTTCCTTTTCCTGAGGAGCTAAGGGGGTGGTACCTCTGAGGGCATATACGTGAGGGGTCCAAGGACAGAAATCAGAAGTGTATATGGCTATTGACATAAATGCTATCTTTCTGCCCATTTCTTTTGTTGTTTTGTTTCCAAATGAACCTTATCTATGGCTTTACTAGGTGATTTCTTCTTTGAGATATATATCTATGTTTCCCTGGGAACTTTTCTGTTTCTTATAAAGACACCTTTATTGAATTTAGAGCACACCCTAATCCCACCATGATCTCATCTCAATCCCTATCAATCCCTATTTTAATTACATCTTCAAATGCCCTGTTCCAAAAGGAGATCACATTCTGAGGTTCTGAGTGGACATGAATTTGGGCGGATAATACTCAACACATTACAATCAGTAATCTCAATGTAAGTATCAGTTGCATTATCACAGGGAAGACATCAGTCCTGTGATATTTACTTGTCCAATAAAGACTTTAGACATTGATGTTCTTAGTGAAAGTATTGGCATCCTGAAACCATTTGTGGAGTGTAGCAGCACAAATTGTGTTAAAGGAATTTGGGGAAAGGAAATGGCTGAGATCCAGTGTGAGAAGATTCTTGTAATGGCTGCAAGATGGGTAAATTAGTGAAGATGTTCACGTTTAGATCCTGACTGGATTATCATCCCGCTACATTTGATCACATTAGTTAGGGCAAACAAATGTGGCACAAAGATGATAAAGTGGCTACTGATTGGACAATTGCAAGGGAAGTCACCAAGGAAAAAAGATGGGCTTTGTGGTGATAGAGCAAAGAGAGTTTAGCTCAAGGTAATAAAACTTCACATGAGATTCTAAAGTTGAGTACAGACTATGTTCAGATCGATGAATGAGACGTGTCATGTATCTATCTTTGCTGAGGTTGAGGTCACTAACATTTGGAGATAAACATTAATTCCATACATCACCCTGGTGAACATGAAAATAGTAGGAAGTGATCAGGAAAACCATTCAATAGGGAATAAATGATGTCAGACAGGACAGTGTCACAGTTAAATAGTAGAGAACACTGGGAAACTTAATGGAGTATAGGAAGGAATTTGGCCAAGAATTACTCTTACCACTCTTGTGAGAAAGAGAGAACAAGAAAATGATAGACTTGTCATTATTACAATGATCTCTTGGATTACCTTACACTGGGTTTAAATGCAGAAAATACTGAGAAACGTTCCTGAAATCCCACTTCAGAATGGGAGTCTATGAGTATAAAATTTATATTATTTTTGCTCATTTTTGAGATTGGTGGTACCTTCAGCTGCACATGCTTAAATTTAGCAGAAATAATATTAGTGTGTATGAATCTGAAACCTACCAACACTGCTTTGCATGACTGATCAGAAAAAGAAAGAAATCAAAGGATCTTTTTTCTCAGACACTCTTTTTTATTGACATTATTGCTACACAACACAATCCATGTGATTTTTTTATGGCCTGATCAAAGACAATTAGAAACTGAACTTTCCTATTTAAATATAGAACTGGGACAAAAGGTCTATCAACATTTTCTTTTCTGATTTGTTAATGTGTTGTGAACACTCTTACAAAAGAGTAAGAACTAAACTACCTTTAGTTATATATCTAAATTCCCTCTATTCAAAATAAATAACATATAATTCGCACGGTACTAAAAATTCTGGGGGTGTATTTCTGTCTTCTTTGTACAATTGACATTTTGACAACTATTTCAACTAACACATAGAATCCCTGATCTTCTTGACCTTACACTATGTCTACCCTTCCAATATACAGCACTGGATAAATGCAAACATCTGTTTTTTTTTTGCTTGTGTTGAATTCTGCTACAGAAAGTTGGAGAATAGTGCCAATTGGCTCCACTACAAATTTATGCCATTTAATCTCAATTGGGCCTTCAATACTACTTGGCACTTCTTCATTCATCCCTGAGATGTTGCCCCCAACAGCTGTTTGAAGTTGTTTTTTTTTTTTTAAACTTTTCACAGTCTCTCAATTCCCAAAGAAGAAAATTGTAGGAATGAAGTTTAACAGTTCTAAAAAGTATAATGCAAGGAAACTTTCCTGAAATGTTTGAAATTGCATAATTAAAAAGCACAACAAAGTACCCGAGGAAATTGACCTAAATCAACCAACATAGAGGCATAGTCTAGTGAATTTACTGAATTTTGTAGATGGAAATATAACCCCTCAGCTGAAAAGATCAAAATCACTCATAAAGGAAAGGAAATCAGATTATAGCCAGATTTTGACAGCAAAGCTTTATGCCAGCAAAAAACAAAAATAAAGCAATAACATTCTTAATACAGCCAAGGAAAGAAAATGCAAGCCAAAGATTTTATATCCAGCCTGGCTTTTAAATTAAAAACAAACAAACAAATTTGTTAATATGCAAGAACTGAGGGAATATTGTTCCCATGAGGGCTTTTACATTTTTGAGAATGAGCTTCCAACAACTAAAAGTGCATGGGGAGACATCCTCAGCTAAACCCTGATGACACTGACCATAGACTGGAGAGGTAACTAAGCTTTTTGCATCTTCAGATAGCAGAGAGCATCATCTCCTAAGAAACCGAAAGAAAACAATTAAAATATGATCAAGAACCACCAATTTACAGAAAATGTAGGGCACAGTAAAATCAAGACTATAGCAAAGTCTAGAAAGATACAGTTTCTTCAGCAAACATATTGCAAGGAAAAAAGAATGGAGGAGGAACTGCAAATTAAAAGAAATTATTAGGAGTAGACATAAAGGCATAACCAAACTAGTATATATGACTGAGCATTTGGGTGATAAACTTATAAAGAAAATGAAGAATTGATTACCAAAAAAAGGTCAGGGTACAGGTTACTTTTGAGGAGACAGGATTGTGATAAATGATTAGGATGGTTCTCTGGGGTGGCTGATGAAATCATAATTTTAAATCTAATTTGGGGCTAGGTAGTTAGTACAAAGCTGTTTGCCTCATAATAGTTCCTTAAGTTATACATTGTTTTACACAGTTTTTAGAGGTTATTTTTTATAATAAAAAAGCTTAAGAAATGAAACACTATATGATATTTCATGTTATAGCAGTGACATAGCTGTAAATACTTAAATTTTCATCAGAGACATAAATGGCAGGGCTAGAATGTCCTAAATTGCTTAGGAAATAAATGCTAATTCAGGGATTATTCAGTACTCTGTAGCAAAAAGAAAAATAACTCATTCTTCTGCTTTTGTCCACTATGAGTCTCATCACTTCCATTATTTCTTTTATAAATGTGGTTCCTCTCCAGTAATCATAGTTGTGAATAAAGATAATACTAAATTTTATGCTCATAGATCAAGCAACCCCTGGTGAAAATTGGCTTTTTACATAAAAGCTGCAATTCTTTCTCACTTTAACTTAGATAAAAAGGTGACTTTTGTATTTATCAGTATTTCCTCAACCTCATATAAAGGATAATGTATTTCTTCATCCTAATATAAAATTAGGTCACTAAAAATAAGTTCAAATATGACCACACATACTAAAATAGAAGAAGATGTAGAAGAAAATAAAATATACCAGATATGCCACTTGCCCTTGGCTACATTATGTTATTACCAGCTAGCTCCTATTATCTACCAGGCTTGTCTTTTATAATATAGATAATTTTACTTTTTAACTTTGATGATGGAAAATCTCAGGCATATACGGAAGCCGAACGCCATGTAGTCATCATGTTGCCTCACAATTATTAATACATGCCAAACTTTTAGTATTTCTATACATAATCAATCATCCTCCTCTGGATTTTTTGGAAGCAAATCCAGTGAAACAAAAGCATCCAAATCCAGGAGACAAAAGCATCCCTAAAAGACTTTCAATGAATTAAGCAACAGCGAATCCTTGAAGAAAATACCATGCACGAAGACTTAGCTAAATACAGTTCATTACCACTACCAGAAGGGCAAAGTCCACAAATTCCTGCACTTGTATCCAGGAAATGTCTAATATGTTGCTAAAGTTTTAGTTTCCAACTTTGTTGTTATATTACCAGTTATCACCACGTCTGTGAGATACCAAAGCCAACAAAAGCAGTATTGCTATCCAGAAAATTCTTAATATCCTAGTTTTAGTTTACAAATTTTGTTTTAGGTTTCAAATTCATAGTCCTTTAAAATTCAATCCATATGGATAAAGAAAAGTGAATTGATCCGGAAGGGATATTTTAGCTCGTCCCAGCTTGCTAATTTGCTTTGCTCTTACATCCTTAAGCAAATCACTTAAAACTTTCAACCTGTTCCCTCAGAAGATGAGAGTGATAGTTCAATTTCGTTCAAGTGCTATATCTCTAAGTCTTTAAGAAATTGATTTTGAGTACACTATCTCTTGTTGGAGTTAGAAGAAAAGTTTAAGTGATCTTCACAAAAAGTTAACTGAAGTTGAAAAATGCCTTAAGAAAAAGGTTAAGATAAAGTAGCATTTTAAGAAATTCTTTTTTTTTAAGATTTATTTATTGATTGATTGATTGATACATACATACATACATACAAGCACTGGGTACAGTCAGAAGCGCGGGAGAGTGAGAGAATTCACCAGAGCCAGAGCGGGGAGCAGAGCAGGCAGAAGGACCGAAGTACACTGCTGAGGGGAGCAGCGGGCGGCAGGAAAGGTCTGCGCGCCATGTGGGACCCTCCTCCAGTGGCCGGGGAGCAGCCAGGGATCGAACCGGCGCAGCAGAG